GGCATATGATTGAATGACTCGTCACTAATGACTGAATCAACACTATATGACTCACCACTGATGGACACACTGAATGTCTTTACGGTGTCGCCGATGTTGATCATTTTTTTGATGACTTTTGTGCTGTCACACTTGCCGTTTCGGTTCAAGCTTTGGCTGGTTCCTGAGCTCTTGCTTTTGATGAAATTTGCTTCAAAGCGTCCAGTGTGTTCAGGTCTGATGTTTGTGATGGTCAGAGATCCGGTCTCAAAGTCCACTTCCAGTATGCCTCTGAATACCCCGCCTTCACCATCGTACAGACAACTCTTAGTAGGATCTCCATTGATCAGGGCAATGAGAGTGTCGTTAAAATACCACAGCATCTTGTCACGTCCTTGCTTGGTAACATCACTTTTTAGAGTGACAGAATCTCCCTCCATCACTGACACCAAGTTCGATCCAAACACACCTGAAGACAAAAATAAACAATAAGTACTTAAGTGAGCGTGTGCATTTTAAAAGGAATTCAACACCATGGCAATTTGTTGGATTATGGGAAATCTGGTAGACGGCGTCATGGCAGGTAGGCAAAATGAGGAGAAGCGAAGCTAAAGATGCATTCACGCCATGTTGAAATTACTTTAATTTTGAGGTTTCAACATGTAAAAAGTGTTCATGTCCTCACAGAGCTCGTAATTCCAGCTTGAAAAATGGGATTTTCTGATGTTGCATTCACGCCATGTAATTACTGTAATTTCGAGATGATAACACATGATGTGCTACTTGCAGCTGTTCACATTCTTGGACTCGGACTAAGGGTATCAATGCCTAAACATAGTGCCAAAAGAATCTAAGGTGGTCAGGTGGTACAAGTTGTAGCTCTCAGAAAACTCCCAATTCACAATTCATTACGAGTTCTACAAGGACGTGAACGCTTTTTACAACTTGGTATCTCGTAATCACGGTAATTAAGATATGGCGTGAACGCACCTTCAGAGCTCCTAATTGTACCACGTGATAAGTGTATTCGCCTTGAAGCAGAGCTGTGCAGGCCGATCGGTGTAGGAGCCGTCTGGCCCTATTTTAACGATCTACGCGCATGGTCTAAAGTGCACAGCGCAGGTGCACTCAAGGAGTGTCTGAATCCACTTTTGCTAGTTTAACGATGGGAAAACGGTCAGCGCGCCCAGGCGCATGGTGTTTTTTTGGGCGTAACATGCAATAAACCAATCATAGTCTCATCTCCCATCCCCTTTAAAAGCCAGGTGCGCTCGCGCCATGGCGGGTTCGCTATTTACATGGCAGAATGTAATTTTTCATTTTTAAAAATGTTTGTGTGCTGCTGTGCGTCTCTGTGTGTCTAATAAGCAAAGTGAAGGCGTGTTGTGCACCCGCCTATAGGCGCATATTACTATTGCGCTCTTTAAATAACAAAAAAAAAAAATATTGCGCCAGACTTTAGACCAGGTTTGAGTTGATCTATGGCGCAGTCTATTTTCAGTTGCCTCAAAATAGCAACGCGCCAACAATGCGCCTGAACACACCTCTTTTTTAGACCAGCACGCCAATGGGCGCACAAATGGGCGCAAATGCATTTGCTATTTAAACAATGCGGCGCAGGACGGGAAAATGATTAAACAATGCGCCGCATTGCGCCGGGTGTATGATAGGGCCCCAGAGCTCTCATGGTACTTTGATGTCATACAACGATCGGCCTGCGCAGCGCTGTTTCAAGTCGAACACTCTTATTGAAACACACTTGTAGAAACAAATTATTCCCAGTCACGGAACGAACATACAAACACAAGCAAGAATGGAAACTCCATGGCAATGGAAACAGAAACTAAACTAAACGTCACAGATAGAAGATTTCAGATCGCAAAATCTCTAAGGTGGAAAATATTTTTTTACAGCCTCAGACACTCAAACCGTGATGGACTAAAATACATTGCATGATCTCTTGATGCACATTAAAATAAATAAATAAACTACTGTTTATTTTAAAACATTCTCAGTTTTATTTGATATGACACAGATAGGCCTATGTCAAATGCAAAATTATAATGCACCATGCATCAGCTACATTTTGTAATTTATTTATTTTTTAAAAGTGAATGACTAAAACATACAGAAAGATGTACAAGTTAAATAGAACCAAAGCCATAAGAACTGTGGCCAGTTGCAAAAAAAAAAAAAAAAAGTTTTACAAGTTAGTCATCTTTTTTTTTTTTAAAAACT